CAAAACCTCTGGGATATCATGAAAGCAATTCTAAGAGGGGAATTTATATCTCTACGAGCACATATAAAGAAAATGAAAAGATCACAAGTTGAGAGCCTAACAAATCACCTAAGGGAACTGGAAAAAGAAGACCACCAAAACTTGAACTTTAGCAGAAGAAACCAAATCACAAAAATGAGAGCCCAAATACAGGACATAGAAGACAAAAATATCATAGAAGTCATCAACAAAACAAAAAGCTGGTTCTTTGAAAGAATTAACAAGATTGATGGACTCCTAACCAGAATGACCAAGAAAAAGAGAGAAAAAGCCCAAATAAACACAATCAAAAATACAAAAGATCAAATCACAACTGACCCCGAAGAAATATAAAAGATTATCAGAGATTTCTATGTACACCTGTATGGAAACAAACTTGATAACCTAAATGAAATGGAGGATATTCTGACATCACACAACCTCCCCAGGTTGAAACAAGAAGACACTGAGACACTAAATAGACCAATAACAACCCAGGAAATTGACTCTGTCATAAGAAAACTACCTGCAAAAAAAACCCCTGGATTGGATGGCTTTCCAGCAGAATTCTACAAAACGTACAAGGAGGAGCTGACACCAATCCTATTGAAAGTATTCCAGGCAATTGAGAAAGATGAAATTCTCCCCAAATCATTTTAAAAAACTAACATCACACTGATACCCAAATTGGGTAAAGATCCAACTAAAAAAGAGAACTACAGGCCAATATCCCTTATAAACATAGATGCAAAAATCCTCAACAAGATTCTAGCAAATCGGATCCAAAAATTCATCTCAAAAATCATCCACCACGACTAATTAGGCTTCATCCCCAGGATGCAGGGCTGGTTTAACATTCGCACCACCATAATTGTAATTCAATATATCAATAGGTGTAAAAACAAGAACCACATGATTATCTCATTAGATGCAGAAAAGGCTTTTGATAAAATCCAGCATCGCTTCTTAATAAAAACCCTCAAACACCTAGGTATAGAAGGAACATACCTCAAAATAGTAAGTGCCATCTACGATAAACCCACAGCTAACATATAGCTAAATGGACAAAAACTGGAAACATTTCACCTGAAAACTGGAACAAGACAAGGTTGCCCACTCTCAACATTGTTCAACATTGTGTTGGAAGTCCTAGCTCGGGCAATTAGACAAGAGAAGGAAATCAGGGGTATCCAAATAGGAAAAGAGGAAGTCAAGTTATCCCTCTTTGCTGATGATACAATCCTATACCTTGAAAATCCAAGAGAATCTGTCAAAAACCTGCTTGCACTGATAAAGGACTTTGGCAAAGTCTCAGGATACAAAATAAACATGCAAAAGACAGTCACATTCCTAAACACCAACAGCAAGCAAGCAGAGACCCAAATTAACAGCACAATTCCATTCACAATAGCCACAAAAAAATTGAAATACCTCGGCATCTTCCTAATCAGAGAAGTGAAAGACCTTTACCATGAGAACTACAAAACACTGCTCAAAGAAATCCAAGACCACTTATTCAACAAGGGTGCCTGAATGATGCATATTTGTATACCCAACCCTTAACCAAACCCCACAATTTTAAAGTAAAAAATATGTTTAAAATAAAAATAAAAGCCGGGCTCAGTGGCTCAGCCTGTAATTCTGCGCCTTTGGGAGGCTGAGGTGAGTGGATTGCCTGAGCCCATGGGTTCAAGACCCACCTGGACAACTTGACGAGACCTCGTCTCTACAATAAATCAAAAATTAGCTGGGCGTGGTAGCGCATGCCTGTAGTTCCAGCTACTTGGAAGGCTGAGGCGGAAGGATTGCCGGAGCCCAGCAGGTCGAGGCTGCGGTGGCCGGGAGCGGCCACTGCACTCCAGCCTGGGCGACAGAGTGAGACTCCAACTCATAAATAAATAAATAAATAAAAATAAAAGAAATCCAAGAAGACACAAACAAATGGAAAATAGTCCATGTTCATGGATAGGAAGAATCAACATTGTTAAGATATCCATCCTACCAAAGGCAATCTACAGAATCAATGCAATACCCATTAAATTACCAACATCATTCTTCTCAGACCTGGAAATGACAATACAGAAATTCATATAGAAACATAAACGACCACGTGTAGCCAAAACAATCCTTAGCAAATGAAACAAAGCAGGAGGTATCACAATCCCAGACTTCAAACTTTACTATAATGTTACCGTAATCAAAACAGCCTGGTATTGGTACAAGAACAGGCACATAGACCGATGGAACAGGATAGAGATTCCAGAAGCAAAGCCTCCATTCTTCAACCAACTCATCTTTGACAAAGCCTTCAACAACAACCACTGGGAAGAGAAGAACCTATTCCATAAATGGTGCTGGGAAAACTGGCAGACCACATGCAGAAGATTGAAATAGGACCACTACATATCACCATACACAAAAACTAACTCTAAATGGTCCAAAGACCTACACATAAAACCTCAAACTATTAGAATCTTAGAAAATACAGGAGATAGCCGGGCTTGGTGGCTCAGCCTGTAATCCCAGTGCTTTGGGAGGCTGAGGAGAGTGGATTGCCTGAGCCCATGGGTTCAAGACCCGCCTGGGCAACTTGGCGAGACCTCATCTCTACAATAAATCAAAAATTAGCCACGTGTGGTAGCACGCATCTGTAGTTCCAGCTACTTGGAAGGCTGAAGTGGAAGGATCGCCGGAGCCCAGCAGATCAAGGCTGCGGTGGCCAGGAGCAGCCACCGCACTCCAGTCTTGGTGACAGAGTGAGACTCCAACTCAAAAAAAAGAAAGAAAGAAAGAAAGAAAATGCAGGAGACACCCCTATGGAAATTAGAACTAGCCACCAATTCCTATTCAGAACCTTAAAGTCCAATATCTTAAGAAATAAAATAAGCAGGGCTTGGTGGCTCAGCCTGTAATCCTGCACCTTTGGGAGGCTGAGGTGAGTGGATTGCCTGAGCCCGCGGGTTTGAGACTCGCCTGGGCAGCGAGACCTCATCTCTACAATAAATCAAAAAATCAGCCGGGCGTGGTAGCGCATGCCTGTAATTCCGGCTACTCAGAAAGCTGAGGCGGAAGGATCGCTGGAGCCCGGCAAGTCGAGGCTGAGGTGGCCGGTAGCGGCCACTGTACTCCCATCTGGGCGACAGAGTGAGACTCTAAATCAAAAAAAAAAAAAAGAAAAAAGAAAAAAAATAAGATAGACAAGTGGGACCTCATCAAACTAACACGCTTCTGCAAAGCAAAAGAAACCATCAAGAGAGCAGGGAGGCAGCCCACAGAATGGGAAAAAATATTTGCCAACTGTGTATCTAACAAAGGCCTAACATCTAGGCTCTACAAGGAACTCAAATGCGCCGAAAGGAAAAAAACAAACAGCCCCACTAAAAAGTGGGCAAAAGACATGAATAGACACTTCTCAAAAGAAGATATACGGGCAGCCAACAGACAGATGAAAAAGTACTCAGTCTCACTCATCATCAAAGAAATGCAAATCAAAACTACACTGAGATATACCACCTAACCCTAGTAAGAATGACCATCATTAATAAAACAAACAACAACAGATGTTGGCGAGGATGCAGAGAAAAAGGAACACTTCTACATTGCTGGTAGGAATGCTAACCAGTGCAACCTCTCTGGAAGACAGTGTGGCAATTTCTGAAAGAACTAGAAATTGACCTTCCATATAACCCAGCAATTCCCCTATTGGGAATATACCCAGAGGAACTCAAATCAGTCTAAAAAAAAGATACCTGCACACGTATGTTTGTTGCAGCTCTATTCACAATAGCAAAAACATGGAACCAACCATGTTGCCCATTAAAGCTGGACTGGATTTAAAAAATGTGGTACATATACACAATGGCATATTATGCAGTCATAAAGAAGAACAAACATGGACTTCGCAGCAACTTGGATGGATTTGGAGTCGATCATACTCAGTGATCTGTCATAGAAACAAAGAACAGAGCACCATATGTTCTCATTCATAAGGAGACCTTGAACAATTATAATACTATAAGAAAGGGACTGGCAGTAGTGGGAAACTGTCATGGGAGGGGGTGGGATTTGCAGTTGGAGAAACTGCTAGGGGAGGGAGGGGTATACCTCATCAACAAAGGTACCTGCATAATCAGTGTTTGTATATCTAACCCTGAATTGTACCCCACATCTTCATAATTAAAAAAAAAATTCTCTAAGTAGACAATTATCTGGCAGGATCAACAAAACTCTAGATACATGAAATTGTATCTTTTGACACAGTAATCCTATTTCAGAAAGGAAATAATCCAAGAGAAGGAAAAAAACTATATAAATAAATGTTTTGCCGGGCTCGGTGGCTCAGCCTGTAATCCCGCGCCTTTGGGAGGCTGAGGTGAGTGGATTGCCTGAGCCCGTGGGTTCGAGACCCGCCTGGGCAACTTGGCGAGACCTCATCTCTAC